CTTGGCAGAATTGCAATCTGATACAATTCTAAGAAATCATTAGCAGGATGAATGAAACAAATATCAGGGAAAGTTCCTTCCAAAACAGAAATACCATTATCCTGAAGAAAACTCTGGTCATCCTTGAACTATTTAGCCAGAGAAAGCGATGTCACTTTTCCCCTTTGTTCAAAACACTAACCCACTTCCAGGAAAAGGTGGAGTGAGCCTTAACACACATGCAAAACAGGACTCTCAATTCAAAGACTAGGTAGCTTTAATACGCCGCTCATCCAAAAGTGATAGCAGCTACTATTATATTTTCTTGCATACAGCCTGCAAAGAGCAGGTGGTGGAATTTAGAGCGTGCACTATATGGAAGAAAATGTGATGAGTAGGTTCGGCAATGGTCCTCAGATTCAGCCCATTTGGATTCCCCACTGGTTGGAAATTTGGTGACAGGAGAGCAGTGGCAGTTTTTTTGCAACCACTGCTCCCCCACCACCAAATCTTCAGACCCATGGGGAGCCCCTTGGCTAGATGATGTGACCATGTGTGTCAGATTGGGCCAGCATGTGGATCCAGTTCACAGCCCCAAATCTGGCACATGGCCAGTTTCAGGATTAGATCCGGCCTGTGGTTCCAGCCATGGCACACACAGTTAGTCCACGGGGTGACAGCAGGCTCAACCTCCCTAGCTGCAGCCACTCAGTTACTACAAAGTTATTTGAAAGGCAGCATGAAGGGGTGAGAGGGGGAACCAAGCGTATGTTATGTATGTGGTGTGTCTGTCCCTATATGAGTAATTTAGCAACTACCTAAGAGTGATAATGCAAACTGTGAAGCTGTGTTCTGTACAAAAGCAATAAGTCAGTATTGGAAGGTAAAATGTGGTAAAAACCTACCAAAAAAGAAAAAAGAAAAAAAAAAACACAAACCACCAACAGTATACTCAATTTGTTAAAAGCAGTATTGTACTAAAGTTTGTGGATACTATTCCCTCCACAGTACTAAACAGATGAGTGTTTTAACACAATTATTTTCCTCTACAATATGACCAATTATTTATTTTGTGGAGGTTCCTATTTTAATCAAAATAATAGATATTCTTAATACTTATCACAGGGCCTTCCGCTGGTATGGTTTTAATTTTTTAAAGAAGGAACACTATTGTCTTAGATTAACATTTCTGATCAGCTATTTCCTTCAAGGCATGTGCCGGTTTAGGACAGCAATGAGAAAGGAACTCAGACTACATAACCTTGAATATTATCTTCCTTTTGTTAGGGCATGGTGTATAAACATTTTGTAAACATCTGAATTTTGTCACCCAGTAAGATACGCTTGTGAAGCTTCTTGAACATGAAAACAATAAACAGGGAAAAGCCTAACATGCACACATGCTAGAGAAAATACTAAGCTACAGCTAACGTTTAAACGTTTCTGGAATGCCAGAAAACAAAAGTCTAAGGCAGTCATAGATGTGCGAGAATTCCCATCGTCTTTAGTTTAATCACCCTTTAGTTTCTAAATGCTCGTCTCTTCTAAACTGATAACTGGACACTCCACCCACTTCATAAGTATCAACAGGTTAAGACTCCAAAAAAGTTTGCCTTTTTGTGCATATCAGTTTTTGATAATTGAGGTATTTCCATATTGGAGACCAAGAACCATTGTGAGCACTCACATAACACAGGAGATAGAGACTTGTTCAAATTCATTCTCATTTGGCCTACAAAAATATCCAATCTTAAAAATCTATAGTAAAGACAACACCACTACTCCTGCTAAGTTGATCCAATAGCTAGCTAATTTACTGTTAAATTTGCATGCATTTCAAACCCGAATTTCTCTAACGTAAAACTTCCAGCCATTAAATTTTGTTATTCCTGTCTGCTATTTTTGGGTTCCCACAGTGGGTCTCTGCTCAGGTGTTCTGAAGCCCCATGAGATGGAGAGCTATAGGATGATGAGATCTTGGGTATTCTTCTATGCTTAATGGCATAGAAGAAACAGTTAGGCATAATGCAGGCAGTTACTGGCGTGGTCCACAACCACTATGAAGGTACAGCCCTGAAGGAAGGGTAGAAAAAGCCTCAAATGCCAGCCAAAATTGCTCCAAATTTGAAAACACTGATATGAACAGAAGGTTTAGAACCAGAACGCTCTCTCCAAAAGTGAAGTTAGTCTAAGTATATTCCTTTAATAAGAGTCTTCAGTAAAAAGATTTAGAGAAGTAAACTTCCTTGCATAACTTATTTGAATTGTGTAATCTGTCTAGAAGTAATGTTTTCCTTTCCTAGGGAAATTTTATCATGTCCATAATGTTTGTACTTAGGCTCAGTAAATACCATTCAATGTAGACACCCCTGCATTGGAGAAAGATGAAGTCTGGCATGCGGCATGAAGAATATCTTGTAGCTAATATTGCTTGTGCAACTTGCCAGAGGCCTGTGTAGTGAGCCAATTTAGCACCTCTTGAAAAATTCTCAGCTTGTCCAAGGAAGCAAATTAAGGATTAATCATTTATCAGATGACAGAAAGAAAATAGCCAAGTGGTCACACAAAGACCTTAATGGAATTCTTAGTCGTCCTCCAAGAGTAGATGTCAGAAATGGCAGTGGTCATCGTAACACTTGTTTTGTAAGAGATACTAGGATCCCCAAGGAAACATTTCCAGATATACAGGTTGATCTCAAAGACACTTATAGAGAGGTAAACTTCATAAGCATGTTCTCAATGGTGTGGTGGCCAGGCGATTGCTGGGGCCCTTGCCGGGAACCCAGAACGTTAGGTGGGTACTTCGACGCGTGGAGTGGAATTAGGCACGGATGCGTATTGGTTGCAACAAGGTTGTTTACTTACGCTACTGATGTGTGCAGTGTAGGAAGAACTGGCTTAATTGCAGTTACAAACGAGTTACAAACGTAGCGAGAGAAATGTAGCAAGAGCCCTTGAAGCGGGACAAGACGTTCCATAAACAAATTACTGAGTGCACAAGGAAGGGGGGGGTACATCGGGCAGGTCGGTGACAGGGAGTCGTTGGTGGGTGATCAGTCCGCCAAGTTTACTCCCAGGTGCGTCCGGAGTTCCCCAACTTGGGCGGAAACTGCTTTTACTTTTATACGTTTAGAGTAACCAATGACGGGCTGCTAAGTAGAGCGCAGAATGGCTGATGTCACAGAGCGCTTCCATGACCAAATTTGGGAGTGGAGGTCGGTCCATACGGTCTATTGTGACATGGGCACTTGCTTATGACTTGGTTATGAAGTGCGGCACCCAGAACTGGACACAACTGCGGTCTGACTAGTGCTGCAGAGGAGGAGCATCACCTCCCTCAATCTGTTGGTCATGCATCTGCTAATACACGACAAGGTGAGATGGCCTCGCTGCACTGCCGACTCATGTTCATCTTGGAGTCAACTATGACTCCAAGATCTCTCTCGGCCTCTGAGCTGCTGAAGAGGACATCCCCCAACCTGTAGGTGTGCTGGGGATTCCTCCTTCCTAGGTGGAGTACCTTACATTTATCTTTGTTGAATTGCATCCTATTACATTCCACCCACTGATCTAACCCATCCAGGTCGGCCTGTAACTGCTCCCTGCCCTCTGGTGTATTAACTTTGCCCCATAATTTGGTATCACCTTCAAACTTGGAGAGGGTGCTCAACACACCCTCTTCCAAATCACTGAAGATATTAAATAATACCAGCCCAAGGACCGAACCCTGTGGGACCCCACTGCCCACCTCCTTCCAGGTTGAAAATGACCCATCAACCACTACTCTCTGGATGCAGTCCCTAAGCTAGTTAGCCACCCACCTGACTATGTAGGCATCCACTCCACAGCCTGTTAGCTTCCCTATGAGAATAGGATGCAAAACTGTCGAAGGCCTTCCTAAAATCCAGGTAGATGACATCAGCCTCCGCTCCTGTGTCAAAGCAGTGTGAGACCTGGTCATAAAAAGCTATAAGGTTTGTCAGGCAGGATCTACCCGCGATGAACCCATGCTGGTTTCCATTCAGCATCTTTTCCCCACTGGGCTTTCACAAATATGCTCTTTGATTTTTTCCTAGTATTTTCCAGGGATAGAGGTAAGACCGACTGGCTTAAAGTTACCCAGCTCATCGTTTCTCCCCTTCTTAAAAATGGGCACCATGTTGGCCTTTTTCTAGTCCTCAGAGATCTGTCCGGAGCACCATGAGAGCTCAAACAGCTGTGCCAGCGGCTCAGCAATGACACTGGCCAATCCCTTCAGCACCCGTGGATGGAGGTCATCTGGGCTGGCTGACTTGTACCCATCCAGCCCTTCCAAGTGCTCTTTAACTAAATCAGCACTAATTACGACATAAGACATGAAACTGGTTTTTACAGATTTAAATAACGCTATGGAATAGCAATTTTTATTGGAACACGTATTCAAATATTTGAACGCCGGCTTCCTGCAGGTCCTTTCACAGCATTTAAGTGGGCAGTTGCTTATAGAAGCTTATGCATGAACCAGCCAATTGCCTGTCAAAAATGACCGCAGTGGGGAAGGAGAGACGCACTGTCACTACCTAATGTCCCATGCTGCCACCATTTTGCCTACTGCAGGGAGCAGGGTGGGTGAGCCCTGTCCCGCCCTCAGTGCTGTGGCCTCGGCTCCCCCACCCTCTGTCTGGACCTCAGTGCAGCTTCAGAATCATGGTGGCACTGCCCCAAGCTTGGAGCACTCCAATTGGCTGTTTCTGTCAGCCAATCAGAGTGCGAAGACCAACAAGACTTTTATATTAGAAAAAGGCTAGAAGGTTCAATGCCACACTGCCTTCTGCCTATAATTTAAGTGAGCTTTAGCTAGTGAAGAAGTCTTAAAAATAAATGCTGTGACTTATGCAAAAAGTTTTGATAGTCTAGATGGATTCACAGACTTCACTGTGTGTTACTATTTTATACTTCATATATATATATATATATATATCTCTGAGAAATGAAAAAGCCTGTATCACGAACTTAATATAAAAATAACTACCAATGCAAGATATGATCCTTCAGTTTTTACTGACTGCTTGTAAAGACTCATTTACAACAGTTTATTAAACAACTCAACTAGTACAAGCTGTGTTTCACAACTAACCTTTAATGCTACAACTTAAACCTGAAAATGTCATTGCAGATAATCAAATAAGCTTTGTGTAATAGTCTTCATTCGCAAAACCAATTGTTCACAACTGTTGTGCAATTTTCCATTAAGGACACTAACTTTGAAATGGTAAGTTAGATGAATCTGCAGGTTTTCAATTAAACCAACAAGCAAACAAAAAACTGAAAATTAAAAAAGGAGTTTCACACATTTTATAAAGAATGCTCACTGCAAACAAGTCAACGCTCTTCATTGTTTATTATTTTCCCAAGACTTCACATGTATGTAAGAAAACTCTTGCTAAAAATGGCCTTTTCACAGAACTATTCCAAAAGTGGATGTTACCTCAAATCCCCAGTACCACTATGTAGTAGTACATCCACTTTTCATGAAAACAGCATCAAATAGTCAACATCAACTGCTTCTTATATGTTTAAAGAATTTTACAGAACTGATCAGCAAGGAACTTAGTAAAGGCAACAGATTATGTTTTACAAGTCTTTAAGAAACAAAACGTTTTTAACAAAATCAAGATCTGAAACTTGGCACTTTTTCCTTTCAATCCCATGACTCATCAGCTGAACCTGTAGCATACGACTGGTTAAGTCCTCCTGCATTCATACCGTCTTTGCCTTGGTAAGTCTAGAAAACAAAGGTAGATACCAAACTGTAGTTACATTTCTATGTTTTAAGGTAAAACCTGATCCATTTTAAAAATCATAAAAAGTTGTATATCAATAGAAATTGTGTTAGTTGATTCATTTTTAGGGACTGACCTTAGTCACAGGCATTTGGGCGGTGGCTGCCTACTTGCAAATACCAGAAGCATTTTTTCACAGGATTAAAGGGTGTAGTCATAAACATTCAGCCAGTAGATTAGATAAGTACTCACACAGCTATATGGAAACACTAACTATTAATAGCCAATTACGACTCCTAAAAAGGAATTTAGAGACCCTGAGAAGTATAGATCCCAGGAGAACTTGGAGATTCCAGTGTCTTGGGTAGCCATTTCCAGTGCTTGACCACTCTCAGTCACCCTCCTGATCTTCAACCTAAATTTCCCCTGCTGAAACTTAAGGCCTTTGGCTCCTAGTCCTGTCCACTATAGCCAGGAAACGCCTCTCTCTATACTCTCTGTAAACTGCCTTCAGGTATTTAAAAAGATAATCCATCATCCACGTAATTAAATGAAGATGTTAAACAATACTGGACCCAGGACAGACCCCTGTCCTGCAGACAGATCCCACTTAATAACCTCCTCCCAACTAGACATCAAGCTATTGATAACTACTCGTTGCACACAATTCAACCAGTTACATATCCATCTTCCAGTAATTTCATCTAATCTGCATTTTCTTAGCTTCACTATCCAGGCTTTTGATGCCATCTGATGACAAGGTATATCGCATCTACTCTTCTCCCCACATCTACAAAGACCGTCTCTATCACAGAAGAAAATCAGGTTGGTCAGACATGACTTGCTCTTGGTGGACCTGTGCTGGCTGTTCCTGATCACCTTGTTCTCCTCTGTGCTTCAAAACAGATTCCTTGAGGACCTGCTCCATGATCTTTCCAGGTATCAAGTACAAACTGACTGGTCTGTTAGTTAGATCCTTCTCCTTTCCTTTTTTAAAGATGGACTTTATATTTGCCCTATTTACCCTTATATTGCCCTTTTTGCGATGCAAATCAGCCACAATCAGCTTGCTTCTTCAAACAAGCCTGCAAAATAGCTCCTGAACTATATCACCAAGCTTAAACCAGGCACCTTGCTACTCACCACTCACAAACCCTATCCCAGGCAAACAGGAGAGAGGAAGCTATGAAACAGCTTTCTTCCTGTGCTTTTTCTTACCCCTAAGGTTTTTGTATTTTGCCAACAACCTTTTGAGAAAAATTTCACCTGGACTGTCCCACTAAGAATACAGCACTGGAGACAGTTTTACACAGACAAGAATCAAGCTTAGAAAAGCCAGCACTTCAATTTCTCCTCCAAACTCACCTTTCGAGTATCAACAGATGCAAAAATACTTCCTCTTGGAATGGAAAAGTTAGCTCCAGGAGCACTAAAAGCAATTTCTTCCAGCCATACTGGAACCTCCTGTTGAGCCTACAGTACAAAAGTTAAAGGCTGAAGTCATGACTGGGTTGCCTACTTGCATTAAGAATATAAAAACAAGTTAATATCTCTATTTAAAAAACTGGGTAGAACGTACATCTGAAAGCACTTTAAGCAAAGGTTCTGCCAGGTGGCTATCTGTTTTTAAATCAAAAAAGGAAATGGCTTTGCCTATATTCCCACAACGGCCAGTTCGTCCAATCCGGTGAACATATTCATCAATGGTGGATGGAAGATCAAAATTAACAACATGTTGAACATTTTCAATATCCAAGCCTCTGGCTGCTACTGATGTAGCAACGAGCACAGGGCATTTTCCAGAACGAAAATCCCGAAGAGCTTCTTCCCGTTCCCTCTGCTCCCGATCTCTATAAAAGAAAGCAAATCAAACAGGTTATAACAGATTTCTTTTTAAGAGGCAAGTAAAAAATATTATAGACTAAGATGAAGCAACTAAAAAGCAACAGGTTACATATAGAAAAATACAACAGCAACTCCAATTTTTAGTACAGAATACCTACATTATTAAAATTCTGCCATTTGGATCTGTAAAATAGGTACCATTGATGTGCTTCTTACAAACCTCTATTCTGGGAAATGCATTCATTTTGATACACTAGACATATACAGAGTTTAAAAACTAGCATGACCATGACAACACTCACACAGTGTATTTGATGTAAATGGGGGAGGGGAAGGGAAGAAGCAGGAGGTCATCGTAGTAGTAAGGATCAACTCCCTTACTGAAGAGTGATGTCACTGACAGGAAGTAAACTAATTGACCATTTTGGATTCAGGAGTTGGTGGTTACAATAAAGGCTTAATGAGAACAAGGAGTCTCCCTGCCTAAGATCCAGAACAACACATGGGGCACGTCCAGGCAAGCGCAGTCAAGCAGTATGTGGTGCCGTAAACACATCTGCGGCACCACATACTGCAGTCTGGTGTTCTCCACCTTGCAAGGGCATGCTGCCTGAGCACGTGCTGCTCCGTTTTCTTTTTCTGCAAATTTTTTTTTTTACCTCTGTATATCCAGGGGTCAAAAAAACTGCAGGGGGAAAAAAAATGGAGCTGTGCATGTTCAGGCAGCATGCACTGCTGGAAAGTGGAGCCAAGCCACCCGGAACTGCACTGAAGTGGCTGGCCAGGCTCTGTCTGGCAGGATCACTGCAGCTGCAGCCCTGGGAAGCCCCCAGGACAGGATGTTGGGGCCTGTACATGTTGGCGATGTAAAAAGAAAAGTTGCTAGCCTTTATAGTTTGTTGCCCCATTGCTGGAGTCTGTGAAGTCACAGAACAGGATGCAGAATACTTCACAGTACTTTTAGATGAAGTTACAGAGTCTTTATCAGATCTAGAAATCAGAATGACAGACATTGAGCTCAATGGACAACCAATGCCATTTAAAATTGATACAAGAGCAGCCTCAGCTATCCCAGGATTCTTACTACAGCCCACATAGGGATGGGATTCTCCATACCCCTACCCAACAGCTACAGAGACCAGACAACACTACCCTCAAAGTACTGGGATCCTTTAATACAAAGATGACATTGAAGTAGAGATGAGCAAGAAGTCTGTGTGATTGGTAATCTTGCTGTGCCTTTACTGGGTTTACTGGCCATACAGGCACTGCAACCTGTCCACTGACTAGATGAAATGGTGGACCAGAAATCCTTAAAGCAGTAATAAAGAACCAAATATTCATCTGTCTTTTCTAGTCTTGGAAAAGTGTCAGGTAAATATTAAATACACCTAAAAGCCAATGCATAGGTGATGCGTAAGGGGTGCATGTGCATGCCCTACAAAAAGGCACTGCTGACAGTGGCAGCGGCATCTGTGGGTGGTCACCGCTCATCACTGACACCAGCATCTGTGGGCATTCGCGATCGCCGCTGGCCACTGCCAACAGTGCCTGTGGGTGGTCACCTATCCCTGGTCAGCATTCCCCCCCCACCCCGCCCCGATAGTGCTGGCGGCGCCTGTTGGAGCTCTGTGCTTACCACCGCTATGGTCCTGCTGCCACTGTGCCCCCCCACCCGCCGGGGGCATGCACCGTTCATGAGCTGATGCCATTCATTCAATCACATACGATTACTGTGAATCATGTATATGTTGTTTTGCACAAAGCCCTCACTCCTAGAAGGATTTTTGCTTTGTATTAAAAAAAATCCAATTTCTAGACCTCACACTAAAGGTATCTAATGGCACTTACGAGTTAAAGTGAGATGAAATCTGACCCTTGGTCTCTGTGCATCAATGTACCCTGCAACGGTTAAAGATTTGAGGTTTTCATACCTCATTTCGACAGGATTCATATATGCATCCTTCTAAAGTGGTGATCCTCAAGTGGGGCACTATCAGGTACCAGTGTGGCACTGTGGTTATTCATATGTGCTTTTTCTAGTCTTTTTTGTACACTATAATAGAGAGGGGGGAGTTGCTTGGTTTTGTAATGGAGTGCCACTAAATTCAGAAGTTACAGAAGGTTGTCTTAAATCTAAGACGACAGCCTACAGCCTGATCACATTTACATGTTACTTTCCCTGTCTGGAAGTAAAGGACTTGCATGTGACAAATCAGTAGCATGTATGTCCCCATTTCAAGAGAAACAGAGTTTAAAACCAAATGATATGAGGGAAAAATCACACTGAAAGACAAGACAGCAGTCTGGTCAAATTAGAAGGGGGAGAGGCAGAAACATGCGGCAGAGGTCAAGATCTTGTGTGCGTGCATGTGTGAACAAAAGACTGTATCAATCAAAAGCTTCATCATGACAGGAATAGGAAGCTCACACTTCCCTTTAGGTCCTCAGTGTGGAGGGGGGAAAAAGTAATGCACATGTATTACTGAGATAAGGAGGTCTCTGAGCAAGTATCCAAGACAAGTGCACCAACAGTACAGAACGCATACAGAGAAACACTTCAAAGTATAGCTTCTACATACATAAAGTAACATACTACAAAGCCATATTTAAGTTAAAGCAGTTGCAACATAGGGGCTAGATGTAAACTAAATGTCTTCAGCTAAGGCAATGCATGAAAAATGGGAAATGCAGCTCAGGAAAGCATCCCACTAGCGCAGCGGTCAAGGAAGACCAGTTCCCGTACGTGCCCTTACAGGAACTGTTAAATTAACATGTTTATCTTACTGAAATTTAGATATAAGCCATTCAGGATTGGTAACAGGTTTTTCCCCTCTCAACTTACTGTGCATAAATTAGCATGGAAATAGAATACAGATTCCAAATATAAGCAAAACCATTACTGGATCCAGTCTTAAACGAGTCTGAAAGAAAACGTCATTTTTGCTTTATTTCAAATAAGTGAAACGAGTTAATGCAGTAAAGTGCTCACCCATGAATACTGGTGGTTGCTATTTTTTCTTGACAAAGAAAGGTTGCAATGAAATCTGCTTTTTTCTTCGTTGCCACAAATACCATTGTTCGCTCCTTACCTGTGAGAGATCAAATATACTCCTTGATAAATGAGAAATTACAAATTTACTAGTCTCAAAGTACTAAATACAAACAAATATGGCCTGAATATGGATGTTCTTCTTTCAGATAGTTCTACCTGTCAATGGATTTAAAACAAAGCAACACATGCACTTTGCCATTTTTCTAAAGGCAGCTTTCCCCTCTGCTTGCTAATTAGTTATTACTTCCCAGCTGAATTCCAGTTCCAAAGAACTGAGAAGTAAAGTGTGTCCCCAGGCAGAGTTCTAAGTTGTGGCAATTTTTCAAAAAAAAATGAACACAGACACTATAGGCAAGACCATTAACTACAAAACTCCACAAATCACTTGGAAACATTAACTTTAAAATAACAAAAAACAGATGGGGGTAATGTACAACACTACTGTATTAATTCAGAAGCACCTCAGATAAAGCTGTGGGGAAGATATAAAAACAAAACCAGCTTTTAAGGGAGAGCAAATCCTACAGTATTAAAGCTCCCAAAGTAAAAACATGATTGCCTGCAAATTAAAAAATGCTGAGACAGAGCCTTTAAATCTTGAGTGGTACACCTTTTTAAGGCCAGAGTTTTTCAAAAAGTTAGTATGGATCATTTAAAATTCAAATCTTACCTAACAGGAAAACTGTGTATAAAATGGTGATCATATTAAACCCTCTCAAAATCCATGAACAATTATTCTGAACACAGCAGCAAAATCTGTAAGTGGCTGATCAGCCACACCAATAATCCAAATAGAGCAGAATTAAAATAACTGAGCTTTTAGTTTACAATCATGTATCACTGTCGCTAGGTGGGTACAAAATAATTAAGACTTATTAAAACTAATTGGCCTTAGTTTTGTCATTGAAAACAAGATTTTCAAACTAAGCCTTGACACCCAGGTCCATCTAAACTGGGCATCTCAAACTAGAAAGAGACTAAAAAAGAGAAACAATTATTCTGTGGAAGTGGTTACTGTCAAACACTGCTTCTGTCTATCCTAGCACTAACACACACACCACAAAACAGCAATGACATCCATTAGCCAGCCAGAAGTATAATTCAGACATTCCTCTAAAATAGATCAAACATTGAGTATATGCATTACAAAATATACAAAGTTTAGTATCAATAGCTCACATTTCACAATCTACAAAGCTTTAACACGAATTAAAGGTGGACAACAACTGGTGGGTGAAAGACAGCACATTCCAAATGAAAGAGCAAGTAAAGTAGTTTACTTCCAAACAGACAAAGAACCACTTAAGTTAATGCAGAAAGCAATACATCCCAGCTGCCAAACTACAGCCCATAGCTATTCTTGGAAGAGCCCATAGTCTTGGAAACTCATCTAAGCAGTAGCCAATACTAACAAGATTGGTCTAGGAAGCACTCAAAAACAAAATTTTCCTAGAAACAAGAATAGCCAGGAAAGTTTGCCTAGCACTTGAAATTAATTGAAATCAATACTAGCTCAGCACGATCAGGATCTAAAATTTTCATTCTGCTCTTGACTATCTTTCTCTCCAATTAGGGAGGGAAAAAATGCAATAAAGAAAGTTACCTATGCTTAGCAAAATGTCGATCAACTTTTCTCTCTTAGAGTATTGGTCAACCTGAAGAATACTCTGCTGGACATCACTGCAGGCTCCACCAACTTGTCCAACAACAACAAATAAGTATTCAGTTTTCAAAAACTCTCCAGCCAACCTTAAAACAAAAATAAGTGATAGTTTAACTACTTGTCATTAGAATGACAAGTTTTTTCAGTAGCGTAACATGTTTTTAAAATCATAAACAAAATCAACACAACATAATAAACATTTATATTTTACACCTTTCAGGCCAAATTATCTCCTAAAATGTAGGCATAGCTTTTCGCCATAATATTAAGAGGAATTCTGCATCTACTTTCCAGCACAGGGTTTGCTCACATGGTTTATAAAGCAACTGATACATTTGTTTTTATTAAGAGAGAAGTTGGCAGTTTGCTATACAACTACTAGCTTTCAACATACTTGAAGAGGTATATAAATATTTACAGATGGCAAGATTCAGAATTTGAATTCTGATCTGTCAAGTCCTAAATGCTGCAGCACATACAGTTGTGGACTGCTATCATCATAAGACAGCACCACTTGCACTTATTTACCAAAGAAGCATTAATTTATGCTGCAACAGAGGAAGTAATTAAACAGGCAACAAACAGACAAATTAGTTCAACTTAAGCTCTTGAAAAAAATAAGCTCAATACTCAGACAAGTTTAGCAAATATGACTCTGAGCATTAACAATGAACTTCAAGTATTTGAGTGATCATCAGATGAGAAAGAAAATATAAGCAGAGATTTAAAAGCCAGAGACTGACTCCCTGCAAATGGGTTTTCAACTCCATGAAAACTATTTACCCACCTTTGAATTTCTTCTGGGAAGGTGGCACTAAACATCAGTGTTTGACGCTTGTCTTTTGGGGGCATGCTGGGATAAGAAACTAACTTCTTCATCTCTGGACCAAACCCCATATCAAGCATACGGTCCGCTTCATCTAACACCAAATATTTCACTTTACGCAAGCCAACCTTTAGAGAATGTTTATTAAAAAACACAGAACATTAAAAAACTCCTCTTCAATCCTATAACTTTGTTTTGTCTGTGAAAATGGTAAAGGTATTTCCTTTCTGCTGTAAACCAGCCAGTTGCACTTAAAATGTTTTTCTCTCTCCACAGAGCTCTTCAATTCCCAACCAGTTAATTACTTAAAACATCTTAGTCTACCTCTGCAATAGCTGGGAACAAAAAGAGTCACTAAATTGCCTCCTGATTCACTTCAGGAGTTTGTCTAGTTAGGATCTACCATACTTCATCTAATACAGGATGCAAGCCACAGCCTGAAGCCATTTCATCTGGCACGCAGGACTGGAAATTTGACAGTGTAAACTGCCAAATCTCCCAGAGCCAGGATGGCTGCCTTTTATCCTGCCACTAGATTTCAGGCTCTGCAGGCAAGATAAATTCTGGCCTATAAGGCCAGATAAAAGTGACACCTCTGCTCTAATACAATAGTTACAAGAGCAGATGTGCCCAAGTTTGACATTTTTAGTAGCTTCCTGAAAACATGCTTTTTTGTTCCTTGATTACATGCTGCAGTATACAAGAGGCAATGGAGTAAAAAAAACCAAACAAACAAAATGCCAAACAAACCACAAACCCCAACCCCCCAAAAAACAATTGGTACTAAAGGACAAATGTAAATGATAACAATTAATAAAGAGGTTATGACAGAAGATTCAAAACAGTACGAAAACCATTTTTTTCACAAGAAACAACAAGAAAGTAAAATTCTACAAGAAGGGCAGAAGTATTTTCATCTGTCCAGATGCTTATTTAAGGCATTACTTGAACATCACCCCACAGGATATCCATTCTTCAGTCAACAAATACAAAAATGCAAATACAAATAAAATGCTTCTATTTGAAGTCATGCACTTACACAAGTGATAATGGAAACAAGCTTTTTCAAGCATGAATTCATTAGTATTAATGAGTTCCACAGATAAAGAGGTGCTTGCGATACATATAAACATTCTTTCAGATGCTGAAGTCAATCTAAGTTTTCCCAGAATGAACCAACATTATATGCATCTATAAGGGTTTTGAAAATTTATCTAAATATTAAAATAATTTGTTACTGTAAAGACTGAAGTGAGATTGAGATTTTCTGATATGCTCTGAGGAGAGGCTATCGAGGAGATTTGAGATAAAGGTCACTTTCAAAACTAACTTTCTAAACTTGAGAACAAAATGTAAATTAACCCAACATATAAGCAAATTCATCACCTTTCAGCTCCTATAATCCTCTCCTTCCTAGGCAGCCAACTATGGCCTGTCATTCTGCCTTCATTATACTGGTCAAACTCAAGTTTCTCCAGGCAAAAGTTTCATCACATTTAAGTGTCTATTTTTGTAACCCCGTAAACACAGAAGTGTAAAGTTGCAAGTATATCAGAGATGCATTTAAGAATATATATAAAAATTTAAACATTTGAGGGATGGTAGCTACTTGGGTCAAATGAATTTGACCATCAGACTGGACAGTGCCTTCTTTTGGAGGTAAAGACATCAGCTCAAATTAACTTGCAAAACTAAAAAGGTTTGTTTCATTAAAAGTTTACCTGACTACAATCGATTCATAACAAAAGTGCAGTTTTTAAAGAACGCAAAGAAGTTCTATAATACAGAAACATTAGCTTTAAAATCTTACCTTTTCTTTATTTATCATATCCATAAGTCTGCCTGGAGTGGCGCACAGTATATTACAGCCTTGCATTATCTGACGAATTGAATGAACTGTCTGCGTACCTCCATAGATCACAACTGGCCTTATACAAGTTCTAAGTCAAAAGAAACTGTGATTTAAATATGCACAAAAATCCGTACACAATGGTTTAAAAGAAAAAACACTGGAAATTACTGTACTATTCCACAGTTAAAGCTGAACTTTATCATAAAATTGCTGATGTCTACTCCCCTCCACTGCTGCAGTACACCCTAGATCAATGGCAGAAACTAACAATGAAAGCTTTAAACAGAGATGGCATTCTCAGAGTGAAAACCACCACCCCTACCACAGGTAGACTAGGGGTGTTGGTTGTAGCTGTGAGGAAATAGGCAGAAAAGGTTCTTTGGGTAAATCTGATATCTTTCATTAGCTAAAATAGTTGGGCAAAAATCTTCTTTGCAAACTTTTGGCTACCAACACCTTTCTTCTGCAGTTGTCTTGTACTCTCCTGGATGGGATAAAGGCCAGTATGGCTCCCACTCCCCCTGCCTGAAGGGTGTTGCTACTCAAAAGCTTGTAAAGAAGATTTTTTTCCCCCAACTATTTTAGTTGGTCTAATCAAAGACATCAGATTTACCTAAATAACCTTGTCTGCCAAAGGTGGACTAGCTAATTAGCTGCAGTTGCACACTAAATACATCATAATATTAAGTGCTCAGGTAGCATAAATGTAACAAACAAATGTAGCTTTTCACCATGTTTATTTTTTTTAAAAACAATGCAAAACTCTTGAAACTACTAGTTTTCAATTTATCACATGAAACTGCCTCTGCCAGCCCTTGGGTATCCATTTCACTTAAAGGACTTTCTTCCTTTCTATTTAAACCCTGATCTGTGCAAGCCATTTCATACCATCCGACAAAGGAGGCTGTTGCCTATGAAAGCTTATGCCTTAAGGTCCCTGCTACATGTTAACATATATCATGCAATTAACTGGTTTATTGAGCAATAAATTTAGACCACCTACATGGGCAAAGTAATTATCACATGATAAAAATGACTATCTAGCTATAAAGAGACAACCAGCTATCAAATTAATGCTTAAAAACCCATGACAACTGAAAGCTGGATAGAAACCAGCTATAAAATTTGAACATATATGTAGCAGGGCCCTAAGATGCCACTCTGCCTTGCTTGTTCCCAGACCTCAAAGCTAATTGCTTCTCCCTATTAAAAAAGCAGTACAGAATCATGTAATTAAGACTACTGCAAATAAATGCACACAAGGGACAATTAAACCTTAAAGAGGCACTTCCAAATGCTCCATTTTAACAGTGTTCTTTAACAAAGAAATAGACATCAGTGCGCACTTCTTCCAAACAGCAGGATCTGATCATGCAGTTTTACACAAAATATATTCTTAAAAAGACAGAGGTAGGTTTTGCTTTACACAGAGAAGATGCATGCAATAAATCAGGCTGAAGAGCTCATTAAATTTTTTTAAAGTTAAAATATTTAAAAAGTTAATGTATATGCAGAAGACCTTTTTCCAATTACCAAAGAAGTCAGCACCCCTTTACTAGACCACCACCAGACACATCTAACATGAGGCCTCAGTATGCAATTTTAAAGTTGTATCCCTTGAGACAATAAGTTTGACCTTTTGGACAAAACTAAGAGCAGTGGGAAAAAGAGCATGGTATCTCAATACTTTCGTGCACAGAGAACACCGCTCAGATTTCTGAAAGATTTGATTTTGAAACTAGGAGCACAAGATATCATATATTTTGTAAAGATGAAAGGCAAAAAAATTAAGAATCTAGAGTACTTTTTCATAGTTACTTTATTTTAGTCAAACAGATAAAGAAATTCAACTCTCATTTAAAAGGCTCTCCACATATTAGCAAGGCTCTGCCAAAGTCACCATGACAGCTTTCTCTCTGCCCCTCTCTAGCTGTACATTAAACTTTAATGATTAAAGCATTAGTTAAACAGCATCCTTACAACCTACAGCAGAGTTGTCCAACTTCTGAAGTCAGGGGTTACACAGTGAGGACCACAGACCTGGGGGCTGCATACCCATGCACAGGCCAGTCCTGTTCCCCCACCCCCTCCTTATGCTGTGCACAGCCCAGATTCCACCCCATCCAAGCCCTTTCCTTTATCATGCACAGCTCAGTTCTCCCCTATATCCCACCCTGCCCATTCATGCACAGCCCAGCCCATCTCCCTTGTGTCCCCCTCTTCCCCCACAGCTATACAAGCTGTACAAGACAGTCTGCTTTGCAACACAAGCAGCCCAGCTTCCCACTTACCCTGCCATGCATACAGCACCCCCAACCTTCTTCCAACCACACATGTGGTCGGGGAGGTGCTGGGTTCCCTGTCCAACGTGCAGCCTGGCCCCCTTCCACTGCACCACCTTCTACCCCACCCCAGGAACAGGGCAGGAACAAGAAGTTGGAGAAGGGAGGGGGAGCGTGGAGGACCCGACAACTGACATTACTGTAAAAGAGAGGGACAGAGCAGCCATCAGGCAGAAGCCCTCATGTTAACTTCTCACAGGTCTCATGAGGCTGAACAACCCTGAAGTTGCTTGCAAAACTCCATGTACAGTAATTTCAACTTGACAGACGTTTCGTTTTAAGATCAATTCCTTAGTTGTAGCAATTATTGGCTTTTTTACTAAGTAAATTAAGTCTCCTATTGTTTCAAAGTATTCTGGTATTGCTTAAATCTTACCCATATGCAAACTTTCTCGCTTCCAGAAAGATCTGATTTATCAGTTCTCTAGTTGGAGCTACAATAATACATTCTGGTTCTTGTTGCTCTTTAAAGTGACTGGCAGCTATTCCATCGTTCATCATGTGTGCCAAAATTGGCAAGAGAAAAGCTGCCTGAAAAAACAAATATAAAAACACTTCAACAACAGTTTCAAAATATTAGTTTAAACAGTGTGAGCTAATTGTGAAAGCCAAGAAAATTATGTTATTGAAGAAAACCACCATCAATCTCCAAATGAAAGCACTGAAAAACCTATCATGTTTAGAAAAATTCAGAAGCAGCAGTAATTTAACGAGATGTAGAACAAATTACTGTATAAAAAAATTACACTTGAGATGCACAAGGCAAAGTTATATCTTGTAATCCAATATTTTAGCAAATAATTTACATTTTATGCAAAGAAATACACAAGCCAAAAACATTTTAAGTTCTGTTGATATGACTCCAGGCAAAGCACTGGCTTCTTAGCAATACGAGCCTTTTTTTGGCAAACACGAGCAAGGTAGAATTTCATGCTACAGCAGAAGCCAGACCTAGGTGTTCATAGAATTCATCTAAAGCTGCTGACTGCAGCTGTTTTCTTTTTCTTTTTTTTAGTAAAAGGATGGGTCTTCTGCAATCACCTAGAGCTTCTTAGCAGTGTTGTACAGCTGTTTGTTATGGCTATATATATAACTCCTGCTTACTTCAAGTACCCTCACTTTTGCATGGCTAGATTCTTAACTCCTGTAAAATACCCAGATGCATTTCAGGTTCCTAAGATCATTACAAGTCCCAAAACAAATGCTGCTACATCAAAGCAAAAAACTAAAGACAAAGAACAGAACATAGTAATAAAATGCTGAACAAGTTATTTTCAAGGAAGGAGACAAAAAAAAATTTACCCTCAATACTGCCTGTGTATTTGATACAGGTTTGTTAGGGTAATGCATTAGATTTCTAGGCAGGCAAGGTTCTCTGGGTAAATCTGATATCTTTTGAGTTGGTCTAATAAATTATATTTCTAGAATACTTTGGACATTTTCCTAATAAGAAAACAGGAATTTCAGCACTTCAAATGAAAAACAAACACAAAAAATACGTTAACACCATAAACTGACTAGAATTCTACAGTTTTTCTGACAGTTAATAAAGCCCACTAAAGATCTAATATTTACAGAAAGGAATAATTTTATCAGTAAGATAATTCAGATATTAAAAATATTTAACCATACTTTTAACTCTGAACACATATATTACTTTAGGTATCATTAAATCACTGTGAACTATAGCTATACCAAAGCATGTCACCAACAAAATTTGGATGTTTTGTAAACAATGTAGAACTGTTTACTATAAAACTATTCAGTTTTATACTTCAACACTTAATTCAGCTAAGAGTCTGGGTATTATTGTTCATACAAATGAATGAATGTTATGCCTTTTAAACCAAAAGAATACTTCTTGCCGTCTAGCTGGAGGTGCTGACAAGCCTCTCAAGTCACAAAAACCAGGTTGTGCATGCACAAACACTTATAAACAACTTACAGTTTTTCCTGATCCTGTCTGGGCACATGCCATTAAATCTCGCCCTGCAAGTATAATAGGAATACTGTACTTCTGCACTGGAGTAAGTTTTGAATACCCAGCTTTGGCAATGTTCTTGTTTAACGTTTGACAAAGATTAGCTTCTTCAAAAGTCTAAAGAAAGAAAAAAAAGTTTGCTGATTTTATAACCATTAAGTTCCTCTAATTCAGAAGTTAAAGAAATAATGGCAGGGAGTGATCCAAATATTAAAAATACCAGAATTAACCTTTAAAGACTCAGGATTTATGTTAACCGATACTTGAGAGAGGACATCCTGTTAACTGATTTTCTTCCCACCTCAATATTCTACAGCCCATTGTCTAGGCAGTCCCAGGATTCTTCTGGAACTAAACTTGTTAGAACAACATTAAGGAATGCAAATCGTTGTTAGAGCCCTTAAGTATTTAATCGGCATGCAATTAGCCCTAAAACCACCATTTTCTTTTGATCCAAGGTACAAAAACGTGCAACTTCTTACTGATTTCTAGTAGACAGCCACATACATTCAAATATTAATTTGTTCTCCAAGATGCACAGAGAAGCTTGAAGATTCCCATGCACTCCAGATGCTGGGCACTGGCCAGATATTCAAATAAAGACATGGTAGGAACCAGCCCAAAAGTTATTACACAAAATATATATATCTTAACCCAACTAAATGCATGGCCAGGTCACTACCTAAAATGCAATTAACCAGTTAATTACATCTTAAGTGTAGTGTCTGTCAGGGACCTGAATGTCCCACAATAAAGATGAGCAATATATGTAGCGAAAAAAATGGTGAAATCACTCAACTGCTTTTTCCAATTACAATAATGATTCTTCCAATTTGGGTTCCTATGAAATAGATGTTTTCTTGATGGACTTGGCTGTGAACAACCTCAAGACTGCAGAAAAAGACTAGACAGCTCTTGCTCTACTTCATAAGAACTCTTACCCAATGGCCAAATCCAGCTACAGACTGAATTAAACTTTTTAGTTCCACACAAGCTTCAAAAGTTTCTTCACAGAAAGTATTGCAAATCTGAGTTTTCCTATGGCTGGCATAAGCAAAACATGTGCACTTCTTTAAGTTCACTAGAAACCAAGAACTTTTCTTGGCTGGAGGAAAGGAATTTGTTTAGATGAACAAAGTTTATTGGCCAAGTTTCAGAAACATTCCACGTAAAACTTTCCAACTGTTTAAAACAAAAAGTTTCCCAACACAGTTTGTATTTGGTCTATATAAAAAAACTTCCCAGAAATACTGGACCTTATTAAATCAAGGATTTAAACAAAATAAGCACATTCTACAGTTCTGTATGTAATTCTGAACCGCATACAGCATCAAAACTAGAATGGAAAGTTTACAACACATACCAAAGAGAGGTGCACCTAAAAATGTTGACACCCTGGGCAAAACTTCTGTGGGGAGGAAGGAGAAGGCAAGTGCTGGAGCAGCCCTAAGCCCCTGCCCTTCCAACCACAGGAGCCCAACTGGGAAAAACCCCATGCCACCCAGCTGTAGGAGCTGGGTGGCAGGATACAGCTGGAGCATCCCCAAGCCACCCAACCATAGGAGGGTATTACTTCCCCCGGGATCCAAAGATTTCCCAGTCAGTCCTGCCATGTCCCTGCACCAACCTCCTATGGTCAAGTCAGTCCAGGACTTCAACTCTGCATCTAGGAATGGGCAATACAGAGCTGTTCCCTTCTGTGTCCCAGCACACAGCTCCTATAGCCAGGCAGCAAAAGGCTTCTCCAGCTGGGCTCCTATGGCCAGAGGGGGAAAGGGCTATCCCAGATGCAGTAAAGACTCTTGGGGAGGGGAGGTAGGTATAACAGCTCACCGGGGTCGTTTGACCCCTGTACTCTTTCCTGCCATGGCAGGGAGTCGGACTTGATGATCTGCTCAGGTCCCTTCCAACCCTACCAAGTATGAAACTATGAATTCCAGCACCCCTTTAAGGTGGCACTTGGAGCTCATGCCCCTCTCACCCCCAGTTCCAACTAGTTACATTACTGCCAAACATATTTGCTACTTAAGTGTTGTCATATTCTATTTTAAAATGTGAGCAAAGCCAAGTACAGTTTAAAGAGACGTTATTTATTTACCACGGTACAAATTCTCAGAGACATACTGCCCATATCCCATTCCAATGCAAGATGTGCATGAGGCGCATACATACGACCATGACATTTTTTTTTTACCTTAGTACTATCCACAAGGCATAAATACACATTTTGCTTCCTCGTACTCTACATGGAGTGCAGAAAAGGTAGTATGTATATCCCAAAGCTGTTTCCCCTGTACCCCCTCCACAACCACAGAACCCCAGAATATATGGGCTCAAGAAGAGGGGATGGGGTAAAACAAAGAATGTACAGAGACCTTGCAAAGAGAATATACTTACCAGCAACAGGAGCTCAAGATGGGTATACAAGTACCACAGCAGGTGCACCCAAGCTACATTCACTCTTTCTGCCATAACAGTAAAGATACAGTGCGCCTTTTCCCCACCCTTCTTTGTCCTATGCACTGGAGAACAATGTGTGCCTCCTATTCTTTTTCCCCCTCTCAGCAGTTCTAGATCAGTACGGACTATGAGGAAGAAGGGGTAGCCAGGCACCACAATATCTAGCACCCACTGACCTGTAGTAACCTGGACCCCCACGATCTAAAGATTTTCTGAAAAAAAGGAGACAACAAAGCTAGAGGAAGCAGACCCCAAGCATCGGCAGAGATGCCAAATCTATACTGCCTTCTACAGAGATGCCTAAAAGTCAAACAGACTACATAGGGAACTTGAGGAATTAACATGGGGGGGGCAGGGAGGAAGCAGCTGGTCCAGGAACCAGGGAATCTATAGAGACTGTCCAAGAGCTCAAAAGGACATCATTAAAAAAAAGGAAGCAAGTAAGCTGAAGTACAGTCTTCACTAGGATAAAGGTAAGAGTTCTATGATCTGGTAGAGAGAGAACCACAAACAGGCTCACAAATATAACAAATACCTATAAAATGAGAGAGGCTGGTGCAAGTGGAGTGCTGACAGAAGCACAGAGGGCAGCAAAGATTCCAGTTGAAGCAAGTCACTCACTATCTAGAGGACGTGTGGCCACCTTGCAGCAGGAGCAAACATGCCACAAGTGGCACAGGCAGCCTGGGGGGCACACGGCAGACGAGAGTGGGGAGGATAAGCAACACAGTAGCAGGTAAGGCAGGAAGAAAACCAGGCAGGGGGAAGGGGATCTGAGGAGGACCTGGGAGGGCACGGAACTTAATTTATGGCACAGCTGCCAAAAAAGGCTGGTCCCCACTGGTCTAGATGGGTAACTCAAGAAATGAAGTAATATCCTATCAACTTTGACTAGTTTGATCACCAAGAGATTAATAAGCATACTCACCTTCCCTGTGCGTGAAGGAGACCCCACATTTAAAAAGATCAACTAGCCAGTTAGCAAGGTATATCACAGCTGTGAATAGCAAGAGAAAAACAAAGGTCTCCTTTTTAAACATTAACTGGATCCTTCTTAACAGAGAGGAATGAACTAAAAGGGCAATCATAACTGTCATGTCCATGAATTGATTTCCACCTGCAAAAAAGTCGTCGGGCAGGTTTTTAAATCGGTCTTACAGAAAAATTTCAGGGAGCCCCAACTGGCCCTAATAAATGCCTCTCCCCACTATGCCCAGGTTTGACTGCTGAGTGTTCAACCTGGACCCAAAGTCTTAAATTGGTGAAGTATGGTCTCAAGGTCCACTATCAGCTCTTCATAATCAGGCATCCAGATACAGGTGCACCACAATGTTTTTCCTCCTATAGGTGGACCTATCACTACAGAGTCATGTTAAAGACCCATGGGACTGTCAAAAAACAAGACCTAGGATCTCATACAGGTAATGGTCCAGAACAAACTTCAGCTACTGTCAGAGATGATATCTCATGACAAATGTAGAAATGCTCAGTCTGAAGGTAGAGAAAAAAAAATAAGCCAGTGCCCAATTCCCAGCACAGAATGATGGTAGCCAGTGTTACTATCTTGAACTTCTACTTACAGATAAGGAAGCTCAGCTCTCAGGTCCAAAATCAGATGGCATTCTCCTTTTCTTTTTAGGATTTGCAAAGGCTATTGTAAACGCCTTATTCCTTACGCAGCAGAGGAGCTTTCTTTATCACCCCCCCAAAGTGTGAAGACTTGCTGATGCAGTAAGATCTTGTGAGAAGGAACCTTAAAAAGGGACAGGAAAGGTAAAAGAATTCAAGCTGAACTGGATCAAGTCATCCAAAATGGTGTCTAGGACCCACTGATCCAAAGCAACATGACTCCCTAGGCATGCCTGCAATAGGCAAAGCACTTCTCCAGAAGTGGAGAGATGAGAGTACAAGAGCTAGAATCCAAGGAAGAAAGAAGTTTTTATCTGTCCCATCACTGCATAGATCACAAGACACTCATTTGTAGAAATACTGCCTCTTCTTTGGTAGCCCAAATCATCTATATAGTTAGCTAGCTGAGTAGATGGTCTCTGGATGATGCTCATGTTCATTTCAGGACTGGCATGGCAGCAGAGAGTTCCCCTACAGCTGTTAGTAGTCAGCAAAGCTTTCTTTCAGCGCTGAAAAAAAAAACTCTCCTTTAATTGGAGGTCCTCCTCTCAGTATTTTGGATGTCACAGGGAATGCCAGAGTCCCAGAGCCAGGGGGCAAGATGCTGTATGCACTGCAGCCAAGCACGTTTTGTAAAGAGATCCTGGCAAGGCCGCAAAGCCCCCTTAGAGTCCAATGTTATCTTGTCCATGAAGTACTGCCATTTCATGCCACATTAAGTTATACCAGACCAGAAAAGTTGGCCAGTTAGCAAGACAGAAAGCCTGAAGATTTGCCATTGAGTATGGATTTATTTGGTAGGAAGTTCATCCTTGTCTTTCACATGTGCTCTTACACAGCTTCACTTTCTCACTGGCAACCACCACAGCTAGGCAAGTAGAACCTGTTTGGGCTAGAATTCAGCACTCCTAGATGGCTCTTGATAATATTTACTGACATCTCTAGTGGTAGGAACTGAAGAAGCTGGAGTTTATTACTTTGGCCAACTGCATTCATTGTGTGAGACTGTTTCACTCTGTATAGATTGGTGGAGAATATCCAGCACTTTAAGGGTAGGCTGCCTGACTCTCCGCCACAGGAATCTGAAGACCTCATAGGGTCCTGAAAGTAACAGATAAATCAGCTGTCCACATGGAACTACAAACAGTTATTTCATCAACTCCTTCCACAAAGGTACTTTCATATGTCTGTTCTTCCCCTAATCAGGGAAAGGACTGAAATAAAGTTTACCCATGTTTCACATCACATTTGCATTACATTCACTTCCACAAAACAGAAAAATTTCCAGAAGTATACACTGGGAGCGAAACAAACCATATACCATATAGAAAATTAACTGTTTCAAATTTTTAGTAAAGAACAGATTTTTCTCTGAATAAACCAAATGCTCTTTACTTCCATGCCTGTTGCATGTTTCCACATATTAATATTTTAGAAAAGCAGATCTTGCCATGTATCAAGTGCTATTTCTAGCACAGAAAACCTGAGATTTTTATTTTGCAGAGCAATCCAAACAAACACATACAAACCCTTACTTAAGGGTACATTTAAAAAGCACTGAAAAAAAATTTCCATCTACATTCTCTAGACATGCTATAGAGGTAGTAGTCTATGCAAAAGGCCCCTCTGCTTTTTACAATATAAAGCAAAAACTTAAAAGATTATTAAGGGGAATTAGTATCTAATGAGCGTGGATCTTTAAGAGAGGATTTTTAGTCAGGCTTTTTTATGGCTGTCACCTATTTGGTTTCAAAAGGAAGGAATATCCCAAGCAAGGGAAAGAAGTGTAAGCTCCATACCACCTATTTCACCTTTTCAACTGAGAATTAATAATAATGGTTCTAGAAACCCTCCCCACCCCTGTGATTTTCAAAGGTCTTCCAAACAGTCCTACCTTCCTAAACACAAGCTAAAAGCCCAGGTAAAATGTCCTGTCCCCTTCCACAATGTGGGGCATGGGATCTTAAGTAGAGGAAAAAAGTTTACTCACCAATATTGCTGGAGGGGGATCAAGCCCTGATACTTTTACAAGTATTGTATCATATTTGTCGAAATTAATTCCTGTTTGATAATGTGCAAAGATGGCTTCTTCATCATCTGGTGGAGGTGGAGGCATGTATGTCACCTTTGGCCCTTCAAAATACAAGAAAAAATATAATGGGTTGGTCATATCAATAATTAAGTGAACTCCCAAATGACACAGTTTGTATATGCTGTACATTCTACAATTCTGTAGGATCTTATTTTTATGCAAGTGGCAAACAAGTCACATATGAAATAATTTACGAAATGGGAATAGTTTGAAGCATGCTACACTGAAGTCTCATAATAGTAAGACTTATTTTTACTCTCTTTTTTATTATAAAATTTACTTGTACCTTATCCAAGGTTACAACATTAAAAAAACCAAATTTGCAAGTGACCAAAAAAAAAAAAGTTTTTTTGTGAAATTCTTCAATGTGCTTAATATTTGTTCACTCTCACACAAAAAAGTTTTTTCCCCCAGTCATTACTAAATTAACTGCAATTCTATTGTAGGATGAAAAATTTGAAGTCAAATTGTTCACCTTTGGAATCCTCACAAGAGAAAGCTTACTTACAACTGAATGCAAGCTTGTGCTGTAGGGCTACCAGATGAACAACCCTGATCTAATTCTCCCTTAGAAGCCTGTACTAGCCTCATATTAAGAGTGTTCTTCCTAATATCCAACCTAAATTTCCCCTGCTACAATAAGACCAAGTCACTCTAACCTGGCCACAGAGGATACCATATTCACACAAATATAAGACTACCCTGATTATAAAATGACCTCCCAATAATTAGATCCTGTATGTGAAAATTTTATAAATTTGCTATCATTTTCCATGTATAGAATCTAATTATTGTAGGTTTGTCTTGAATTTGTCCCCCTTCCACTGCTACAGTAGGGGAAATAAATCTGGGAAGGTCAGGTGGCCCTCTTACCCTCTGCCTTCCCTCCCAGCTTCTTCCCCCTGTAGCCCCTGGCCCACCCCCTTCTGTCAGATGCTGCTCTCTGTGAGCACATGGAAGTGAGGAGAAAATCTGGAGACACTGACATGAATTGACACATTGTCTTTTAAACTGATGCAAGGTTTAGCACAGATACTCCACAAACACACTTCTAAGCAGCACTTTTGTACCTCCTTATATAGAATACATATTAGGCATGATATGAACCCAAAACCAAAAGCCTCAGGATTTCATAGGAGTTTAAGACAATGCATTTAATATGGTTTCCTTGTATGCAAATGTAAGACTAGGAGCTTTTCCCCCCACCATGCTGACAGGCAACCCCTAGTCTTATATTCAAGAAAATACAGTATTTTGCCACCAACCTTCACTACCCCCCACTCACTCAGTAGTCCCAGTCCTTATAGACTTTACTCATGTTTCATGCACTGCTGAACTCTTTCCTATCCAAGTCTTTCTTGAAAAGTGGGCCCCAAAACTAGACACCACCCCAGGCTCCCCAGTGTCAAAAAGTAAGAGAACCATTTCCCTTGACTTGCAAGTGACAGGTTTATTAATAAAGCATAGTACATTATTGGCCTTTTCCCCAGTGCAGGCAGGAGCACCTGCTCCTCCTACAGACACTTTCTGGCCCAGCCC